GCGCAGAGAGCTTGCCCCCATGGGGGGAGAGGGTAGCAGACCCCTCGCACCTGAGGCCGCAGGAGGAAGTCCATGGCCGGCAGGGGTGAACCTGAGAAGGAGGGGGAGGGGACCAGCCTGCGCCCCTTCCCAGTCACGTGCCCTTCTGGGCCAGAGTGACCAATAGCGGAGCTGATTGTGGCACGGGGTTAATCATTAGACTCCTTAGGAAAATCCAGAGGGGGCCATGTGGAGCGGTGGCCACGTGAGGGCAGGGAGGGGCGGGACTGGGTGGCACGTGGGCAGGGGGCGTGGCCAGTCATGGCAGGCGAGCTCCGCCCAGAACCCTCGCCCGCGTGCAGACTTGACCTGGGGCCTCTAAGGCCGGCTGGGTCTGAGACGGGTTGCTGGGTGAGAGACCCAGGGTTCTCAAAGTTCCTCAACCGCTGAGGCTAAGCTACCTAGGTCTTCAGGTAACAGCCTCAACTCCCTTCCCAGGACTGGAAGACGTTTGATACCCCCACTACCCATCCCCCCGCACGACCATCATGCAAGGTCAGGGTAGGGATGGCAGCGTCCTCCCGGTCTGCACACTCGCACACGCTCACACCCCTGGTTGGTGAGGACCCTCGGCCAGAGCACACAAGGCTGCCAGGGAGGGAAGGTCGGGCTGGCGACCTGGGGAACAAACTCACCGTGCGGAAAGAATCTGCGCCCTTGGTGGGGCACCGGGGGGCGCTGCTCATGGCCGAATCTTAGCCCTTTTCGCTGTCGCTGCGGCTTTCAGGGCAACAAGGCGGAGGCATAACCTGGATGGGGGAGAGGCCGGATCACCATCGAGAGCCCTGGGAGGGCAGGAGCCACCACGCGCAGGCTGCCGCTGCTGGGGATCCTCCTGGACTATGAAGGGCCTCAGAGTGGCCCTTAGCGGCAGCCACAGCACAGAGAGTTATTTATAGGAAGAAAAGAGAAGAACAAGGAGACAGGAGAGGACTGAGGCGAGTGGGGCCAAAAAAGGCCGAGAGACTGAGTAGAGGGAGGAGGAGAGAGAAGGTGGGAGAGGCCACAAGAAAAATGAGGGAGAAAGAAGTCAAGGCCCAGGCCCGGAGAGAAAGCAACAGAGATGAGGCAGGAAGCGATAATAAGCCGGGGAAGGAGGGGAGTGAAGGCTCAGGCAGACAAGGGAGCCTCGCAGGGTCAGGGCACCCACCAGAGGTGGGCCTGAGACCAGAGAGGGTGTGGCAGGGAGGGTGAGACACCCCGTGGAGCTGGGGCCGGACTGCCGAGACAGGAAGCAGACGAGAGGAAGAACTCTGGAGAGAGCCCAAGATGCCCCCGCAGGGAGGGGGCGCCCCCTCCCCAGTGCAGGCCGGCAGGAGTCTTGCCTCCCCCAGGTCCGTGGGGGCTGGCAGGAGGGAAGCAGGCTGGCTGGGTGGAGGGCAGGAGCTCAACTCCACTCACTCAGTGGGAGGGAGGAAGGCACAGAAGGTGGGCATGGGCTGGGCAGAGCTTTATAATGGGGGAGGGGCATGTGATGGGCTGGGAGGGGGTGGGCACCGCAACCTTGAGGTTCTGCCTCTGAGGGGCGGTCTGGATCCCGCCCCTTCAGAGCCTGGAGCCAGGAAAATCTGAGTGGCAGCGCTGCCACCCTCCTGACTGTGACTGTAGGGAGTCTGGGGAGGACACTGTATGGTGGGGGCAGAGAAGGAGCTGCAGGAGGGAGCCCAATCCCTGCAAATAGGGGGCCTATTCCTAGTGGGTCAGCACAGGGGACACCCAAGATTGGCAAAAAGTGATGGTACCGATGCTCCCAGTGTGTTGCTGGGGACTGGGGGTGCCCGACTCAGGAGTAAGACAAGTCAGTGTAGGGTCAAACAATATAGGTCGGGGGGGGCTCACCCAGGATGGGGAGCCTGGCAACACATTCTTGGCAAGCACTCCAATTCGGCTAACTACGCTCTTCCCCTCCCCCTCAGCAGGCCTTCAGCCAGGGCGGGCGGTGTGGGTGAGCGTGAGGGCACCCAGTCTGGGAAGGGTGTGGGAAGAGTCCGCCCTGAGCACCTGCAGGCGCCCACTCCCACCTCAGGCTGTGCCCTCAACGCGCTCCTCCACACTCTTCTGCACCCCCTCCCCCGCTGTCCCAGAACACAAAGCAGCTTCTGTCCAGAGCATCGGTGCCGATAATCCGGGTAGGGGCACATTCCTCGGACCAGCCCCGACCGGCCCAGAGGATTAGCATCTCTCCCCTTGCCCAAAGGATTAGCATCTCGGACCCCCACTTGGGCATTAACCACCCCCCAAGTGAACTCGTAAATTCCACAGCTCTTCCATGTGGGACTGGCGGGGGAAACGAAGCGGGATAAAGTAGACCCTGGATTTCAGGCAGTGCCGTCTCTCACACCCAGCACAGAACTCCCCGCCTAGACAAACCGACCCCGGGAGTCAGGTCCAACTCTCCGGGCTCGTCTTTCCCATCCCCACCCAGCTGCTCCCTCTTCTGCCTGACCCCTTGTCCCGACCTTACCCGCCACCCGCCTTTCCTGGCTTCGCCTCCCAACCCGGAGACTGGGGATGGAGGCCCCGGGCAACCCCCAGTCTGGGCGCCCCGGACGGGACTGAAGGACTATGCGGGGTGGCCGGAGGGGAGGGATGGTCTGGAGCCAGCCGGGGAGTGGGAGGGCCGGCGGCTCCTCAGGGAGACTACCTACTCCTGGTGGCAGGGGGCGCGGCACCATGGCTTTAGGGAACTCTGAGAAAGGGACCCCGGAATGCCCGCCTCCGACCAGCACTCCATCCGCCTCCTCATCCTTCTCCCCAAGACCGCGGTTCCCCGCGCCCCAGTCTCCGCCCTTTCCTCCACTTCCACTCCCTCCCTGCTCGAGTCCCGAGTTCCCCCCTCTCCTTCCCCCTCCCTTCCTCCCTCCGCGGCCCTGGCCCTCCCCCGCCACCGCCTCTCCGCTTACCCGCTCGCTCTGGACTTCGTGCCCCGGGGGTCTCGGGGTCTCTCCCCGTCCTCCGGCAC